AGTTCAGACGTGTGCTCTTCCGATCTCCCCAAAACCCCAAAACCCCAAGTGTAAAGAATATATATTTTGGCTATGATTGAATAATTAAGAAAAATATTCTAGCTATATTTACAAATGTTATAGAGACAAAATTTTCTTATCTGTTATTATTATCTTTCAAATAGAACTCTAAGTAATTTATTTGGAATTTCTGATTTTTCTATCTAGCTTCTTTACTGTGTGATAGTCTTAAATAATCTTGAATGCAGTGAGATGATGAATTAAGAAAAGCTAGAATTACTGATAAAGATTCTCAAAAATAAGGATATTTTCAGCAACTTGCATATTCCTCTCCCAATTTGAATTATTTTGCTATAGACCATCTGAAACTATTTCAAATCCACTTTAAATCGTCTTTTTGAAAATCTTGACATCACTATTGTCTTAAAATTAAGCTACTTATGACTTTAGCTTCTCCAAAATATCTAAGATTGAGCCTTCGCCATATTAAATTATAAACACTACAAGAGTCATAGTATCACCTGATTCAAACATAGTTTCACTATCATCTATTAAATGCAAGAGAATCTCCTATAAAAATATGAAATTAAATGCACTTACAAGAATTAGTATATTTTCACTAGATTTATTGTAGAAAAAATTTTCCAAAAGAGTCATTAATATCTTTAATAGTTCATTTTCAGTCTAAACTTTGTAATCGCTTATTGCAACCATATTGATTAGGTCATTTTCTAATATATGATCAACAACCTCATTCACCTATATATTAAGAAAATTTATTTTGAATATTTTTACCTTATCAAGATCAGTAGCAGTTAAATATGTCAAAGTTGAACCAATAAAATCTTAAAGATCCTTAATAGGCTAGTTTTCCTCCTCTATAAGTATCATATCATCTACCATGAATTCCATATAAAATTGCCTAATGCCCTAAATCTTAATGATTGAGTGAATCATCTACAGATACACTAAATTTATTCCTTCATTATCTCTTTTGAGATTAATTTTAGAATATCTTAGCATCTCATGTCCATTGTACTCAAGCAGCTATCGATCAAGTTTATTAGCAAACTTATTCATATTGTAAAAACTTTCCCTTTCACTTTAAATATCTTAGATATCTTAAGCCTCTTAGAGGAGCAGATCTATTCGATTTAGTCTTATTTCAGTCATCTTATCATTTGGATATTAAACTATGCCACTATTATACATGCTAAATTAAGTAATAGAGCCCTCATTCTAGTTTATTATATGAGTAGGTGTTTGAAGATTCGTTAATTTTTCATAAATGTTACTCTTAGTCCTTCTGTTAAATTCCTCATTTTTCTATTGAGATCTAACCATCTTGATATTAAAAGGATTTGAGCTACTTTTTACACTCATTTCAGGGGATTGAGGCACCCTAACAGAAAAATCATTGCTCTATCTTAACTTTCTGACTGATTCTTTAGAATAGTTTCCAAAACTAGAGTTGTAAGCAAGATTTAATCTCGGAACTATTGGTCTCTTCTTATTATTGTTTTCATAATCAATCATATTTTCGTCGTCATATTAAGTTGTCACTTACTCAAAACCTGCTTCACTCAAATGATCTGAGGAAAATTCATTAGTTGAAATCTTGTATTCTTTAAAGGTAGTAGTCTCTAATCCAATAATTTGTTAATACAGGTTTTAGTTCTACCCTCCCACTATATATTGATTCCTTAATGCCTCTAGTTTATCAAAGTAAAAAGCATAAATAAGCCTAGAAATAGTTGGATCATTCAGAATAACTAAGATTTCTATTAGATATTGCATGAGTGTTCGAGCTTTCTGCAAAAGTGATTCATCGAGCAGAAGTGGCTGAATAATTTTGCATAATATTAAAGAGAAGAAGGATATCTGAAAGGATTCCTTAACTTTTAACTCATGTCTAGACTCCAATTAGCTTTGATTTTCCAAAATAGGTAGTTTGCCAGAGGAATTTTTCCTACTGGGAGCATTAGAGTGCTTTGCTGGCTAATGCTTTATTCTCAGCATCGAAATATGCTCGTTGTGTATATTTTGTAAGATTTCACGCAAAAAGTACACTGAATCAATAAAATCCTTGAATTAATCGACTATTAATTTATTATATTGGCCTTCAATTTGTTCTATAACATTAAAACCATCTCTTTCACAATATTGCAATGTGTGAGGGAGGTTTTCTAATTAACTTGCCAAAATTTACATGAAAATTTCAATGAATTCTGACTCATTCGATACATACTCAGCAAATGTTTCATCCTTGCTCATGCAGTTAAGACATTTTAAAATTACAGTCCTTAAGATTCCTTTATCTGTAATGCTTAAGAAATTTTTCTGAGCTTTGAAATAGAGAACAAGTATCTAAAATGGAAAACACATTCTTTCACTAATCTCATCATCAACACTAGCAGTCTAGGTGAAAAACACTTTTACCAGATATACCTCATCATTCACCTAAAAGTATAGCTTGTCAATATTATTCTATCTTACCTTACTTGCAATAATGTTGATAAATTCGAGTATTTCTTAAGTGCTTTCAAATAAATAAGGTTCTTGATCAGAGATCCATTCCATATCTAATTTTCCGTTATCCAGATATCTCCAGTTCTTCAGATTACGATAAATACATCTTAGTAGCTGATTTATACCAGGATGAACTGACGAATGTGACAGTATTGAGGTTGATTGAATATTCTAAATGATTTCAGTTAGTGTTGTAATGGCTAGTTTAAAAAACCCTCTGGGTTTATCCATCATCGCATATGCACATAAAGCTTCAATAATTTTATTCCTCAAAATATATTCAAGACAATCACCAATAGTCTTCATTTGTCTATTATGTTCATCCTCCTCTTTTAATAACAAAGCTAAATATTGATTAAAATCATTTAATTTAAAGGTTTATGGAATAAATTTCGAAAAAATAGAATTAATTGAAGAGACAGCATCGATTGTGACTTACTAATCAAACGTAAATTGAGTCTCATTTAGGGAGCTTGAAGAAGGCTTTTGTGTTTCTTAATAGCATCCTTAATAACTTTAGTATCCTCAGATATGACAGAGATAAAAAAGCTATCGAAGTCGGTCCAAGCATTAATAAACATTTATTCTTTTGTGAGTTATCCTAATTTTTGTGAACTTTTACTTCTCAGCTTAATAAAAGACATCGCAATATTTTATCTAAATAATTATTTAATATATTATTTATTTGTTATAAAGCGAACAATCCAATTTATATCATAAATTTGAATTTAAAAGTAAAATGCTAAGAGAAGAAGAGCTCAACATTTCACCAGACTAGCTTGACTAATTGCGAAAAGATTAGTCCTCAAAACGCAAAGGAGACAAGGATTTCAGCTTTATCTAAAATAGAGTGCCATCCCCGCTAAATAACAATTTCCTGCTTTCAGAAGAGTAGAGCAGACATATAAGATAACCATCTGAGGGATTTATGTCGGCTGCCAATAATCTAATGAATTAAGATGAGTTCAAATACGGATACCCCTACGATCAAGATTTGATTGAGGAAGAAAACGATGCTTAGGGCTGCTCTGATGATGAGCTAGATACCTCAAAGATTAGTCTATTCACTGATGAAAATTAAATGATGACCCAACATCAATAACCGCAATATATAATTGAGAACCTCGATTAAAATTTGATGATCTTGGAGACTGTGCAGATGACTGACAGTAATAACGATGACTTCAACTACTCTGAGAGCAACTATCAAAATATTGCCTCATCATCTTTAGGAGCTATAATTCAAGGTATGAACTCTGGTAGCTTCATCGGATTCAATAACCCTAACTCAAATTCTAATCATCATTACAATAATAATAGCAGGAGCAGTGGAGCAAGGAATCTCACTAGTGGAAGAGATAGTGCAACTCCATTCAATTATGATGAGAACAGCTTGATGAATTTAAGTCAAACTCCCACGAGCAACGCCTACTTGAAGTCATCTATGTTACCCAGAGATAGAATAATAAGCAGCACTAAACTAAATCACAATTAAAATTATTAGATGGTTTAAATTGTAGAAGATAATAATGGGGAGGAGCAAGATGAGAGTATGCTCCCAGGTTCTAGTCTAACTTTTAACCAAAAAATACTTTCTAACATTAGAGAATCAATCAAATAATAGGATGAATGGCTTCATAATACAAAAGCCAACCCTATGGAAATGCCTCTCTAGATAAACAATGATAGCAAATATTTCTACAAGATTTCAGACCCCAGTCTCTATGGCATAATGCAATAAGATGCCAGTGATGACATTAAATTATTCAGTAGAGGCAAATAAACTGACATTAAAGATGATTTATCTTAACAACTAATACATCTTTAGAACTCAAATCTATAAATGCTTCACACACTATAATAAGATGATTAAGATAGTCAAGAAGATGAAATGCAACTCATAAAGAAAAGACTAGATTTTTCAAGATTATCTTCCCTTTAAAATCTAAGCTCTCATTAGGCTTATCTAGGTGGTCATTAAGCACCGCATTCGTTCATGTTCCAAACTTACTAAAGCTAAATGTCAAACTAGTCTCTAGGTTAAGAAACCTAACATTTGTCTACCATCCATGGAGTGGAGAGAGAACAAATAGCTATTCCATTTGAGGAATTGCTTCATGAAAACATGAAGTAAATAAGTAGAAATGCTAAAAAGGATCAATTCAATACAACTAAATATGTTACTAGAGATGAAGGTATATAGGTTAGTTGCTAGGAATAAGAGAGATACTCTTATGATACAATCAATGGAATACATTAGGAGGCAGGAATTTCTCCACCATAAAGGACTAAAACTTCCTTGAATTCAAATAGACCACCACTATTGAGACCTTAAACTCAAGGTCTTCCAGTGAATGCCTTCCCACAAAAATTAACAGTAAATGGAAATAATCAACCAATTCAGTAAGTTTTATTATGTTAATGTAAATTAATTTAGGTTGAATTGTATTAACATTGGTAAACTAGAAATAACAAGCTAATATTATTAGCAGAAAAACTCTGATAATAATAAAAATTAAAATCCTCCTTCATATGCAAATTAAGAAAATATTACTGCATCTCAAGGTATTTATCAAGCACCTCCTGCTAGCAGAACCACTTCAACCAACTCCTATACAAGTTCTTTAATAGAGAATCAGCAAGCATTAATTTGCAATGCAAACACTTAAAAATAATTAGGAAAAAATAAAATCTAAATTAATCCTAATTCTGATACACCAAGAGAACCCTCATCATTGATGATAGATGATTCATACTGTAATAATCCAAGGAATATTGTTAACATTTAGAACTAAATCATCAACAATTAGCAGTAAATTTTTACAAACTAGAATTTTATGATGCCCTTTATCGATCTCTAGAGTCTTCAGGGTGATCAAGACTTTGAAACAGATGATGATTCAAGAGATTAACAGAATTGTGGCTAAAAACCAACTAAGTTTGTTAAAGTTAAGAGAAGACCTAAGGAAAAAGTAGAAATTACTAAAGATAAATAACCGGCAGGCACATCTAAATCAAGAAAGAATCCAGGAGATCAAAAATAATAAATCTCAAAGTAAAACATCAATTTTATGTCAAAGACAATGATCATTTCTAAAGATAAGATTCAGCAAGCTAAATCTTTCAATGAATAGCAACAAAAGTAGCAGTAGATAATTGAAAACATCATTATGTAAAATCAAATGATAAAATAAAAATAAGCTAAAGCAAAGAAGGTTAAAGTGATCAGCTCATCGCAGACTGGACTGTTTTTGAATCCTTAGTAAGCTTTGAACAGTGGAAGATCATTGCCTAACTCTAATCAGAGTTCAGCTCAGACTTCTTTCCTGACTGCTTATAATGTCAAAAAGGGGCCAGTTTAAAAGACTACCTCTAAGAAAAATTGTGGGACCTCCAAGGATTCTTCTCAAATAGAAGAAAAGAAAATGAAAAAAATGATGAAAAAGAATAAGTCAATTGCGAGACAGCATCTTCAAACTATTGCAAATAACACATAAACTATAAGTGTAGTTGAGATCACTAATCAGTAAGAAAAGGAGCCAAAGAAGTAATTAAGCAAATGCAATACTCATAGAAGTGTTAGCAGACCAAAGAGTGGGTTCCACAAGCAAATTGACCTAAATGAATAGCCTCTCATTTTAAATCCAAATTCAAACCTTGGCAAAAAGAAACACTCTCAATAAGTCTTCTTGAAAAATGATTGCAGCAACAATAAAGAAAACATCAGGCCTAGCTCAACTAACAGACATTAGACTACTAAAAAGTCCATCAATCTCGTAGGTGTCGGATAGCCTATGAACGGAAGACCTGAGCAGATTATTTAATCTTTTGAGAATATCAAACTTCTTAATGCCTAAGATTTGCTTAATCAAATTTACAATCAATAGCAAAAGCTATCCTCCAAAAACTTCCAAACAATATTTTAAAGTTTGGACACCTCGTCTAATGATATTGCTAAAAGAGTTAAGACTGAGGATAACATTAGTTCAAATGTAGCAGTGCATCACAATAGAGATCACATTAAGAGCATGTAAACCTTTGAGTCTCACACAGACATTGATCCATATAACATGCTTACTAGTTTAGATAGCCAAAGGTTCTAACAGCCAAAGAGAAGTCATTAGTAATAAATGACTAATCATGAAGTTTATGAGAGTCTATACAAAGCAGCAGTAGCTTAAAACAGTTCTAGTACTTGCAACATGATGTAGAAGATGTAAAGTCCCTACAACTCAAAAAGCATGAAGAATAAGTTTAGTACTATTAAGAACAAAAAATGTGGAGAGCTTAATATGTCCAATAACAACACTGGCAGCAGTAAGATACTATCCTCTAAAGTTACATAAAATACTAGCAAGATAGGGGGTGCTTTTAATACTGGCTCAAATAACATCAATGACGACAAAGATTGCAAAAGATGCGATGAACTGATTCATATACTTAAACATGCTACCAGATATATTGCCCGATGAAGTGGAAAAGAACAAATCTAATTAGATCATGGATAATCAGAAATATATAGCTTTCTTGAAATATTAAATATAACCTATTACTTCGAAATTAATCATTCAGATGAATTTTAACTTGTGGGGTTTTGGGGTTTTGGGGTTTTGGGGTTTTCCACTTCATCG